TGCTGCTAAACTAGGTGGCAATGCCAGCTTATAGACCACCTCACCCACTCTCTCAAGAATCTCAAAGGGCCCGATATACCTAGGGCTCAACTTGTCCTTCTTTCCGAATTTCATCATACCCTTCATGGGTGAAACCTGGAGTAATACCCTCTCACCACCCATGATGCAACATCACGAACTCTAAGGTTGGCATAACTCTTCTGCCTAGACTGAGCGGTGCGAAGTCGATCCTGAATAATCTTGACCTTATCCAAGGCATCCTGAACCAAAATGGTACCCAACAACCGAGCCTTTCCTGGATCGAATCATCCAACTGACGAACGACACTGCCTCCCGTATAATGCCTCATAGGGAGCCATCTGAATCCTGGACTACTAGCTATTGTTATAGGCAAACTCCGCAAGCGGCAAGAACTGATCCCAAGAACCCCCAAAATCCATAACGCAAGCGCGAAGCATATCCTCTAATATCTGAATATTACGCTCGGAATGTCCGTCCGTCTGAGGGTGAAATGATGTACTAAACTCAACCCGCGTGCCCAACTCACATTGTACGAACTGCGTATCCCGATCAGAAAAGATAGACATGGGCATACCGTGAAGACGGATGATCTCGCAGATGTAGATCTCAGCTAACCACTCTGAAGAATAGGTAACTGCCACTGGAATGAATATGCCGACTTGGTCAGCCTGTCCGCAATGACCCATACCATATCGAAATTCTTCTGAGTCCATGGGAGTCCAACAACAAAATCCATAGTGATACGCTCCCACTTACACTCAGAAAACTCTAGCCTCTGAAGCTAACTACCAGGCCTGTGATGCTCGTACTTTACTTGCTGACAATTTAGACACCAAGCTACATATGCAACTATATCCTTCTTCATCCCCCTCCACCAATATTACTTTCGCAAGTCCTGATACATCTTAGTGGCTCCCGGATGAATAGAATACCAGGTGGGCCTCCTCAAGAATCAATTCACGAAGCCCATTCACATTGGGTAGACAAATATGACCCTGCATCTGTAAAACCCCACCATCTCCAATAGTAACCTGCTTGGCACCACCGTGCCGCACCGTCTCCTTAAGGAGAAGCAAATGGGGATCATCAACTAACACTCTCTAATGCGCTCATATAAGGAAGACCGAGCGACCGTGCAAGCTAGAAAATGACTGGGCTCCGAAACATCTAACCTCACGAACTGATTGTCCAAAGCCTGAACATCTACTACAAGCGGCCTCTTACTAACTGGAATGTAAGCAAGGCTACCCATACTCACAACCTTTTTACTCAAGGCATCGTCCACCACATTGGCCTTTCCGGATGATACAAAATGGTAATATCATAGCCTTTCAACAACTACAACCACCTCCTCTGCCTCAAGTTGAGATCCTTTTACTTGAAAAAATACTGTAGACTCTGATGATCTGTGAATACCTCGCACGACACACGTAAAGATAGTGCCTCCAAATTTTTAGCGCAAGAAAAATGGCTGCCAACTCTAAGTCATGAACAGGGTAATTCTTCTCATGAACCTTTAACTGTCGCGATGCGTATGCAATCACCCTACCATCCTGCATGAATACTGCACCGAGCCCAATATGAGATGCATCACAATACACCGTGTAGGATCCTAAACCTGTGGGCAACAGCAAAACTAGCACCGTAGTCAAAGCAGTCTTGAGCTTCTAAAATCTCAACTCACACAAATCCGACCATCTGAATGGGGAATCCTTCTAGGTCAATCTAGTCAATGGGGTATCTATGGATGAAAACCCCTCCACGAACAGGCGATAATAACCCGCCAAAGCTAGGAAACTCCGGATCTCTATAGCTGAAGTAGGTCTAGGCCAGTTCTAAACTGCCTCAATTTTCTTAGGATCCACTTTTATGCCTTCTGCCGATACGACATGGACCAAAAAGGCGACTGAGTCTAACCAAAACTCACACTTTGAAAACTTGGCATATAAATGGCTATCTCTTAGCCTCTGAAGTACAATCCGAAGATGTTGCTCATGCTCTTCTCGACTGCGGGAGTAGATCAAGATATCATTAATGAGTACAATCACAAAAGAATTCAAGTATGGCGTGAACACCCGGTTCATCAAATCCATAAATGTTGCTGGGGCATTTGTCAACCCAAATGACATCACTAGGAACTCATAATGCCCATACTGAGTCCGAAAAATTGTCTTAGGGACATGGGATGCCCTAATCTTCAACTGATGGTAGCCAGACCTCAAATCAATCTTCGAAAACACCTTGGCACCCTGAAGCTGATCAAATAATTCATCAATCCTCGGAAATAGATACTTGTTCTTGATAGTGACTTTGTTCAACTGGCGATAGTCTATACACATCATCATCAACCCATCTTTCTTCTTCACGAACAACATGGGTGCACCTCAGGGCGAGACACTAGGTCTAATGAATCACTTATCAAGTAAATCTTGAAATTGCTCCTTTATTCCTTCAACTCTGGCGGGGCCATACGGTATGGTAGAATAAAAATGGGCTGAGTGGCCGGAGTCAAATCAATACAGAAGCCAACATCTCTGTCGGGTGGCATCCCCGACAGATCCGCAAGAAACACCTCTAGAAACTCACGAACAACTGGTACTGAATCCATGGAAGGAACCTCTGCACCAGAATCGTGAATATAAGCCAAATAATCTGGACACCCCTTCTCGACCATACGTCGAGCCTTCATATAAGAGATAACCTTGCTGGTAGAATAGCCAATAGTCCCCCTCCACTCTAATCGAGGCAACCCCAGCATGGCTAAGGTCACCATCTTGGCGTGACAATCCAATATAGCATGATAAGGTGATAGCCAATCCATACCCAAGATAACATCAAAATTTACACTATCAAGAAGTAGGAGATCTACACTAGTCTCAAGACTCCCAATAGCAATCACACACAAGCGATAGACGCGATCTACAATAATAGAATCTCCCACAGGCGGACATATACACAGGAGCACTCAAAGAATCACGAGGCACAACCAGATATGAAGCAAAATAGGATGACACGCAGGAATAAGTAGAGCCCGAATCAAATAGAATTGAAGCATCTCTATGGCAAACTGAAAAAATACCTGTGATAATGGCGTTAGATGACTCGGCCCCAGGCCTAGATAGGAAAGCATAAAATAGGGGCTGGGCCCCATCACTCTGACTACGCCTCTGGGACAGGCTCTAGCTGGATGGCATCCACCTCTAAAGGCCAGACCTCAACCTCTGGCTGCTTGACCCCTGCCTCTAGCTGGCTGAGCGGGCAGTAGAGCAACTGGTGCCGGAATCATGGCACGAGAACTCTAATGTGGCATACCGCCCAATAATCTCGGATATAACCTCCTGATGTGACCAATATCTCCACACTCAAAATACCAATCCTGCTGCTGTAGCTGCTGAAGCTGACCCCAACGGGTCGAATAACCATGGTGATAGTTCTGAATCGGAGGCGCACTTATATGAGCTGATGGTGCACTATACGCTGGCTGGCCAAAGTAAGGCACATAAGGACCACGACTCCTTGAAGCACTATGAGATGCCTGAAGGGCTGACTGAAATGGCCTGGGAGGATGGCCTATACCAAAATTACCCCTGCCTCCAGATGAGGCACCACTGAAACTGCCGAAATGACGAGGCCTCTTATCAGACACCGACCCCCTCTCCTGAGCACGAACCATCTCAATCCGTCTAGCAATATCTACGGCCGTTTGGAAAGAAATATCAATTCCGGTCTCCTTGGCCATCTGTAGCTTGATAGTGAAAGTGAGCCCATCAATAAATCTCCTCACTCTCTCTCTCTCTCAGTAGTAAGCAAGACAGTGGCGTGGCGAGCTAGTCCACAAATCGAGTCTCATACTGGGTAACAGTCATACTACCCTGCTGAAGACACTCAAACTGCCCGCGATACTCCTTTCTCAGAGTGACATGAATGAACTTCTCTAAAAATAGTTGTAAGAAGTGATCCCAAGTAAGTGCAGGCGAATTAGTTGGTCTAGCCAACTTATAATCTCTCCACCATCTCCTGACAGAACTAGTCATCTGAAATGCTGCAAAATCAATCCAATTGGGCTCAACTATACCCATGTTGGGCAACACCTCGTGGCAACGATCCAGGAAATCCTGTGGGTCCTTAGAAGATGCACCATTGAAATGAACAGGAAAGAGCTTAGTAAACTTATCCAACCTCAACATAGCTTCAGAAGACATAGCGAGCCTATCACCGGCATGTGCCGCAACAACCTGCTGAACTATCCCAACTGGCAGGGTCGTTGGAGTCTGATACTGGGGAGTCACCTACTTCGGGGTGTGAGTAGCGGGAGTCTGTGCTCCTCCCCCAGCCCGAGAGATGGCTGGTGCCACCAGGAATGTATCGGTATGGGCCACACTCTCCATAAGGCCCACCAAACGGACTAGAGCGCCCTGAAGCACTGGAGTGGCTATGCACCCCTCCGGGACCTGAGCTGGTCCGATGGGTATAGTTTGAGCTGGAACCTCCTCCTCAAAATCTACCTGAGGCTCCACTACGGGTGCTGCTGCTTGAGCTCTAAGCTGAGCTCTGCCTCTGCCTCAGCCTCTGGCGCGACCCTGGCCTCGACCTCTGCCCCTAGTCGTAGCTGCCACTAGGGGCTCCGTCTCCTTTCCGGCTACAGATGTTGTGTGTGTTCTCGCCATTTGCGATAGAACAAGAATAGAATGGTCCAATCATCAATGATAGAATAAAACCGCACGATAGAGAATGATAGAAGTGAAATTGTTCTTAAACTCCATAGCCTCTAAAAGATAAGTACAACATTCTCTGTACCGATCCTCTAGACTCTACTAATCTTACTAGTGACTCGTGAGACCTAGGTAACTTAGTGCTCTGATACCAACTTGTCATGACCCGAAATTCCCACCCTCGGGACCGTGATGACGCTTAATATTTCACTTGCTTGGCAAGCCAACGTTAGAATAGTTTTCAGCCATTTATACCATTCAAATTAACTAATATCGAGTAAACTGAATAAACTGAAATAGAGTGCGAAAACCCATAGTAACAACAATATCTAGGTACAATCCCAGAACTGGTGTCACAAGTGCACGAGCAATTAGAAATATACAAATAATGGTCTGAATGAAAGTAAAACTTTCTGAAATGAAATAAACAGCTAGGATAAGGTGGAAGGGGACTTCACGGCTTCGAACGCCGAGCAGTTGTACCTCAAGTCTTCGTCGGGATATCAATCCGAGCAATTTACTGACCGCCGCTAAGACCGACTCCGAAATCTGCACAAGAAGGGCAGAGTGTAGTATGAGTACAACCGACCCCATGTACTCTGTAAGTGTCGAGCCTAACCTCAACAAAACAGTGATGAGGCTAAGGCGAGTCACTTACAATAACTTGTACGCAGTATAGTAATAATAAGAGTAAGGGAATGCAAGAAAAGTAAGGCAGTTAAATGATGAAAATAAACCCAATCTTCGAAACCAGTAAAACTAGAAACTTCCGTCCTCAGAATCTCGTATGAAAATACTGAAATCTAAAACAATCCAACAATGGATACAAACCACACAATCCGTTATGGCGCACAACTCGATCCCACCGTACAACTCAATATCCTTTATTATTTCACCGTTTCAATATCAAGAATAACAAGTAAAAATTTGTTGCGGCGCACAACCCAATCCCACCATATAATCAGAATTAATATCATAATCCTCCCTTATTTTACTATGTCAAATCATATATAAAATCCGTTGCGGCGTGCAACCTGATCCCGCCATATCATATCAATCCTCCCTTATTCCACCCGTTGCGGCGTACAATGCGATCCATAAACAAAATCAATAAATGAAATCAACTCAACAACTCAAATCTAAAGAATCGCTACGATTAAAGAACATGAAAACAAAGCCATAAGGGAACCTCGTACCAAATGAAGGAATGCTACAATTAATACAAAGCAACAAGAAAGCCAAATACAAAACAACTAAAGTGCACAAGTAAGACAGTTAAGGCAAGTAGCAATTAATCATGTAAGCATGGGAGAAACGAACATTCTAATACGAAACTAATAAGAGACAAGTAGCAAGTTAAGGCATAAGAAGTGATTTAAAGCATGCAACAGTTAAGACATGGAATAAAATAACTAATGAAATACGGGAAAAGCATGGAAACAATTACTTTGGCAGCGTATATACACTCGTCACCTTGCATATACACCGCCACACATGTAATTCACATATCACATAGTTCAAGTGTCAAGACCCCAAAACCAACCCGGTCGTGATGGCGCCTATCATAGAACTAGGCCATCCGACACATTTCCAAAGTAATTCAACATTTCATTTAAAGTTTAAATAATAACCTTTTTCATACCGAAATTACCATAAAAAGGATAGATTCAAAACCAAAATGCGGAAATAAAAGCCCGATTCACTAAGTCATGAGCAAATACTACTACTGTGCCGAAATATGACAAGACCAAAATAGTCTGGAAATCAGCTACTAATAAATATAGGGAGATAGGAGGGAGAAGAGCAAGGCTGCGATCGCCATGCAACTACCTTGCTAACTCTGAAATATCCGCGGCGGATGAAGATCAACGCTCGCTAGCACGTCCAACGACCCCTGGATCTGCACACAAGGTGCAGGGAGTAATGTGAGTGTGCCAACTCAGTAAGTAATAAAGGTAAATAAAGATTGAGCAGTAAGAAAACACAGAAAAACCACATCACAAAACTCAGTAAAGCACAACACGCTTTCAAATCAGTATATGAGTCAAATCATCTCGTTAAAGTTTTTCAGTAAAATCGTTTGAAGATGCTTTTCAACAGTTCCAACAGAAGTTCAATGCAGTTTAGAGTAAAAGTGATGAAAATCATAACGGCCCCTCGGGCAAAACAAAGTTCGTAAACAGCCCCTCGGGCATAACATCACTCAGAATCAGCCCCTCGGGCAACCTCAAAGTCACTCGTAAACAGCCCATCGGGCGCAACATGAATCAAGAACAGCTCCTCGGGCATAACATCATATCACTCATGCAGGGTACCCGCGCTCACTAGGGGTGTGCAGACTCCGGAGGGGCTCCGACAGCCCAAACGCTATAATGAGCCACCTCGTGGCATAATAAATCAGGCCCTCGGCCTCTCATAATCACAAATCAGTAACGACATGCTACGGCGCACAGCCCGATCCCATAATATCCTCACAACACAGGCCCTCGGCCTCACTTTGTAAAAAACCTCTCAAGCCACTCGGGCTATCAGTAAAACAGGGTGCTCAGCCCAAAATATCATTTTATGCATCAAAACGAAGTAATAAAAACTTAGTTATGAAATCATTAAAAAATAGCATGACTGAGTATAGATCTTAAGTCAAAACAGTGAGGAATTAATAGTAAAAGGCCCCTAAGGGTCCAAACAACTTGGCACGAGGCCCAAATATGGCATTCAACCCAAATTATAGAAATACTTTCTAAAACACATAAGTTTCATATAGTTTCCAGTCAAATACGCAACTTAATAGTTGCTACGGGACGGACCAAGTCACAATCCCCAACGGTGCACGCCCACACGCTCGTCATCTAGCATGTGCGTCACCTCAAAATAGTGAAACGATGTGTAATCCGGGGCTTCATACCCTCAGGACAAGATTTTACAATCATTACTTACCTCGAACCGGTCAAATCCCTACTCCACGACGCCCTTGCCTCTAGAATCGGCCTCCAAACGTCCCGAGTCAGACCAAAAGCAATACAATGCAATCAATATAGGCCAATGAACCAAATCCATACGAAAAATTATCAAATTATACCAAAATCCTGAAATTCACCCAAACCCGACCCCTGGGCCCACGTCTCGGAATCCGACAAAAATAGCAAAACTAGAAACTCCTTTCACTCCCGAGTCTATACACACCAAAATCATCAAAATTCGACCTCAATGGTCCCTCAAATTCTCAATATAAACTCTCCAATTCCAAGCCCTAATCCCTTCAATTTCACCCCAAATTCCCACTAATTTCATGATTAAACAGTAGGAAAATCATCATAAACACAAGTAATAAAGCCCAAGTAACTTACCCAACTGATAACCCTCGATTCCTCTTGAAAATCACTGCCCAAAGCTCAAAACCCAGCCAACAATGGTGAAGAATGGGCAAAAATTCGCGAAGGAACCTTTATATACATTTTGCCCAGCAATTTCCGCATCTGCGGTCCTTCTAGCGCACCTGCGCTATCGCTTCTGCGGTCCAATAAACAGCACCTGGGGTTTTCACTTAAACACCCAGGACCGCATCTGCGCCCCGGGAACCGTACATGCGAGCCCGCAGATGCGTCCAACACATCGCATCTGTGGTTACTCCTCTTGGCCCTCAAAGTCCGCATCTGCGGCTTCCTCACCGCATTTGCGACCTCGCACCTGCGGTCCCCAATTCGCAGGTGCGGAAATAACAGAAGCAGCAACTTCAGCTGTACCAGCTAAATACGAACCCTTCCGATAACCATCCGAATTCATCCGAGGCCCTCGGGACCTCAACCAAAAGTACCAACAAGTCACATATCACCACTCAAACTTATCCAAACCTTCGAAACACTCAAAACAACATCAAAACACAAAAGCACCATCGGATTCAAGCCTAAGAACTTCAAAACCTCCGAATTCCGCAAACGATGCCGAAACCTACCAAATTACCTCCGAATGACCTGAAATTTTGCACACACGTCACAAATGACACTACGGAACTACTCCAATTTCCAGAATTTCATTTCGACCCCGATATTAAAATTTCCACTGCCGACCGAGAAATGCCAAATTTCCAATTTCGCCAATTCAAGCCTAAATCTACCACGGACCTCCAAATCACATTTCGGACACGCTCCCAAGTCCAAAATCACCTAACAGAGCTAACCGAACCATCAGAATTCAGATTCGAGATCATCTACACATACGTCAATATCCGGTTGACTTTTCCAACTTAAGCATACTCAAAAGAGACTAAGTGTCTCAATTCACTCCAAAATCACTCCGAACCAGAACCAACCAACACGATACGATGACATACAGCTGAAGAACACATAAAGAAGAAGAAATGGGGGAAACGGGGCTATAACTCACGAAACGACCGGCCGGGTCGTTACATCAAGGGTTCCTAATTCCCTCAAGTCAAGGTTAGATCCAACACTTACCTCGCTCCGCACGCAAATCAAAGCTCAACAGGGACTTTCCTCTAAAATTCGCCTCCAAATCAAACGAATCTAACCAAAATCGACTTAATATCAACAAACAATGCTAGGGAAGTCAATTACAATACATAAAGCTAAGATCTTTACGCTTTCCCCAAAAAGTCAACAAAAGTCAATCTCAGTCTCGCTTGGTCAAAACTTTAGATTTGGACCAATACCCGATTACCCATTCATCCCCGAGCCCGGTTATGTAATTAGTTTCGAAATCAGATCTCTAAATCCCAAATTTACAATAATTCCTAATTCTACCCAAATCCCTAATTTCTACCATGAAAATCCTAAATTTGATGTTGAAAACTTATGAAATGTAATGGGTAATTGAAAAGATGTAGATCAAAGTCACTTACCAATGAATTTAAGAAGAAAATCTCTTGGAAAAATCACCTCTAGGGTGTTTAGGGTTGAAAGTTTGTGAAAAATGAGCCAAATCCCGTCTTCCCCTCTTGTTTTCCAGGCGAAGATGTCGCAAATGCGAACATTCGATCGCAAATGCGAACTAGCCCACCCTAGCACCCTTTCGAAAATGCGAAGAAATTGTTCGCAAATGCGAACCTGACAGGGCCCTTCTACTATCACAAATGCAATCCTGACCTTGCAATTGCGAGGTCTAAGGCCTGTGCACAAACCAACAAAAATCCTAACTCTTTCAAGCACTCCGTTACGCATCCGAAACTCAACCGAGCCCTCGGGGCTACAAACCAAACATGCATACAAGTGTAATAACATCATACGAACTCGCTCGCGCGATCAAAACACCAAAATAATACCTAGAACTACGAATCGGACACCAAAATGAATGGAATTTTTGAAGAAACTCAAGAATGTGAAACTTTACAACCGGACGTCTGAATTACGTCAAATAAAATCCGTTTTGCACCAAGTTTTGCAGACAAGTCATAAATACAAAAATGAAGCTATACCAAGTTCGGAACCGAAATTCGAACCCGGTAGCAACAAAGTCAACCTACGATCAAACTTAGGAATTCTTTAAACCTTTAAATTTTTAGTTTTTAACAAATTACGTTAGATCAATTTAGGGACTTCCAAATTCGATTCCGGGCATATGCCCAAATCCAAATCACATTACGGATACAACGGGACTGTCAAAACACTGATCCAGGTCTGTTTACACAAAACATTGACCGAAGGCAACTCAAATGAGTTTTAAGGCATGGTTTCACATTTTCATCAATTTTCTCATAAAAAAATTTCAGAAAGACGACACGGACTGTGCACGCAAATCGAGGAAGGCTAAACGGAGCTATTCGAGGTCTCGTAACACAGAAATGAAAGGTAAAACAATAAATGACCTATTGGGTCATCACAAGTGTGTGACATGCTCGTCAATCTCCCCGTCCCCTTGCATAACTAACCCGAGATACTTGAGCCCTTTTCTCTTAGGGATGACTTGTTAATCAAGCCTCACGTCTATATCTGCTCCCCCGACACTACGCTGAACTTGTACTCTAGGTACTCCGTCTTCCTTCTACTAACTTGAAACCCTTAGACTCTAAGGTCTGTCTCCAAACCTCTAACTTTCCGTTGACACCGTCTCGCATCTCAACAATCAGTACTATGTCGTCAACGAATAACGTACACCATGATACCTCCCCTTGAATATGACGCGTCAGTGTATCCATCGCCAAAGTTAATAAGAACGGGTTGAGCACAGATCCTTTGTGTAACCCCATCCCAACCGGGAAATGTTCTGAGCCTCCTCTCATTGTCCTCACTCGAGTCTTAGCTTCATCATACATGTCCTTAATCACTCTAATGTATGCTACAGGAACACCTCTGGCCTCCAAGCATCTCTAAAGGACCTCCTTAGAACCTTGTCGTACGTTTTCTGTAGGTCAATAAATACCATATGCAAATCTTTCTTCCTATCCCTGTACTGTTCCACCAACCTCCTAACAAGATGGATGGCTTCTGTAGTCTAACGTTCCGGCATAAAATCGAACTGGTTCTAAAAAATAAACACCGTCCTTCTAACCTTCGCTTCTACCACCCTTTCCTACACTTTCATAGTGTGACTAAGCATTTGATAACCCTATAATTATTGCAATTTTAGATATCTCCCTTATTCTTGTACAACGGGATCATCGTACTCTACCTCTACTCCTCGGGCATCTTCTTCATCCAAAAAATAGCATTAAATAACCTAGTTAGCCACTCAAATCCAGCCCTACCCGCATACCTTCAGAATTCAACTGGATCTCATTTTTCCCGGTCGCTCTACCCCAGCTCATCTTACACCCGCCCCCGCGAACTCCTCGAAACTAAAGCGCCTACAGTACCTAAAATCACAATGACTCTCGGAGCGCTCCAAATCGCCCAGCACAATGTTCCTATCCCTCTCTTCATTCAGGAGTTCATGGAAGTTAGTCTGCCGCCTTCTCTTGATCTGTGCCTCCTCCATTAAAACTCTGTCGTCCTCACCTTTGATGCACCTCACTTGGTCCAGATCACGAGCCTTCCTCTCCCTCGCCTTAGCCAGCCGAAACAACTTTATGTCCCCTCATTTGTCCCTCGGTTCTTCATACAAACGAACAAACGCTGCAGTCTTAGCCTCCATGACCGCCAACTTCACCTCCTTCTTAGCCTTCTTATACCCTTCTTTGACGGTCCTCTTCTCTTCCTCGTCCGTGATCTCTAATTACTTTAAATATGCTGCTTTCTTGGCTTCTACTTTCCGTTGGACCTCCTTATTCCACCACTTGTCTCCTTTGTGGCCTCCAGCATATCCTTTTGAGATCCCTAACACCTCTCTCGTAGCTTCCATAATACGGTCCGTCATCCTCGTCCACACGCTACTCGCGTCCTGACTACTCCTCCAAGCCCCTATAGCTAACAACTTCTCTTGCAACTCCTGGGCCATGTCCTTAGTTAGAGCTCCCCACCTGATCTTCGATTGATCACACCCAAACCTCTTCTTCCTCTTCAGCATGATGTCTAAGTCCATCACCGGAAGCCTATGATGGGTCATGAGGTTCTCACTCATAATAACCTTATAATCAGTGCACAGACCTTTATTGCAACTCCTGAGAAAGAGATAGTCGATTTGGGTCTTGGACGCCGTGCTCTTGAAGGTAACCAAGTGCTCCTCCCTCTTCTGAAAACTCAAGTTTTCTATCACCAAATCAAACGCCTTAGCGAAATCCAACAATGAAGTACCTCCTCCATTTCTGATCCCAAAGCCAATGCTGCCATACACCTCATCATAGCCCCCAACAGACCTCCCAATATGCCCATTAAAATCCCCTCATCTGGATATCCTTTCAGCGGACTGAATACCACGCACAACCTCATCCAAACCCTCCCAAAAGTGCCTTTTAACCTCTTCATACAAGCCCACTTAGGGCGCGTAAGTGCTACTAACATTCAAAGTACGCCCTCCAACCACTAATTTAATAGCCACCAGTCTATCATTCACCCGCCTAACCTGTACCACTAGCTCCTTGAGATCCTTTTCCACCAAGATGCCACTCCGTTCCTACCCCTCTTACCTCCTGAGTGCCACAGTTTAAACCCGTTTGCCTCCCGCACCGTAGACCCTACCCACCTAGTCTCTTAGACACAAGCTATATTAATCTTTCTCATCTGGAGAATCTTAGATAATTCTAAAGACTTCCCTCTCAAAGTCCCTATGTTCCAAGATCCAATTCTCAACCTAATAGCTCCCGTATGCCCTTTACCGCCCTTGCCCCACCTCCTACCCCCCTACCTCACTCCCTTACTTACCCGAGGACATGTTCTTAATCCACCATCCTCCCCCACAACCACATTTCCTTCAAATGTGGCATAATAAAGATCTGTCTCTCCAGATATGATATAATAAAGATCCACAATATCCAGCTGCCAGTTCCTTCTTAAATTGCCTCCAGTGTATCCTTTTAATGCTTTCCAAAATTTGTTTGATGTCTCCTACATGCACTGTGATTCCTATCCACTAATTAACTTCATTCCTTGCTACTTTAACCCAATCACAGTCCACAAACAAATGAGCATTAGTTTTTGTGGCTTGAGGATCACATAACAACACCTTTCATCATCTACTTGTATATGAAGCTTGAGCAACCTTTTCTTAGTGAGCAGTCTCCATTGAATTGCCAGCCATACTATAAATCTTTATTTTGGTTGAGCTAATGAAGTCCATACCAGATCGGCTATTAGGAGAGTACCAAGTGCAAAACGTTCTAGCTAATATCTTTCCTTAGTACAATTATCCACTCCAACTAAGAAGATGCTGGATTTATCCATATTTGCTATCAAACCAGTAACTTCACTAAAATGACCAACAACCTCCATTACTCTATTAACTAAGCTCACATTATCTTTGTAGAATATCATAAAATCATCAACAAAGATGAGATGAGTTAGTTTTGGGGGCTTGCACATGGGATGGATTTGAAATCAGGCAACATACTCAATGTCTTCGAAATTCTAGATAAGTATTCCATCACAAGGATTAGTGGTGGCAAAATGGATAAAAGTAAATAGTTATCCATCCATATTATTAATTTTTTTATGGGTTGGATAATGAACTTTTTTAAAACGGTTTGAATATGGATAAAAGCCAAATTATCCATTTAGAAAATGGATAACCAATAGATAACTAATGAGTTTAACTTTTACATTTTGTAAAGCCTCAAATTGGGAGATTAGGAATTCTCCAAAGGTGATCATATTCAACAAGTCATGGATAATAAGGATATCCATATTATCTGCCGGTTAGCCCATTTTTATCCGTATGGAATATGGTTGGATCGGATAATTTATCTATTTTCGCATTATCTATTTTCGACCCGTTTCATATCCGACCCGACCCGCCTATTTGCCACCCCTAACAAGGACAAATAGCAAAGGTGATGGTATCCTTACTTAAGTCCTCTCTTCTTGCAAAATATCCATAGCTTGCTCCAAAAACTTTAACTGAAAACTTTGTCGTTGACACACAAATCATGATCCACGGAATGAATCTATCTAGAAAATCAAAGCCTTTCAATGCTTCTTCAAGAAATTCGCAACTCACCATATCATATGCTTTATGAAAGTCAATTTTCATAAAACACTTAGGGGATGTCTTCCTATTATAATGTCTTCATAAGTCATGACATATCAAAATATTATGCGTCATAGATCTCCCATGTACATATACAGATTGATTGTCTGCAACTATATAGTTCACATCTACTTTCAATATACTACAATTTAGTTTTCTAATACACTTATATATGACATTGCAACATGAAATTGTTCTATATTGGGTACTAAATTCTGGTACCTCCACCTTATGAATGAGAGCTATATTTGTTGAGTTGATTTATTTTAGTAATTTTTCGGTCTAAAAAACCTCAAGCACTGCTTCTGTAATATCCTACCCCCACAATCTGCCAAGCTGCTTTGTAGAAGTCACTACCAAAGCCATCAGACCGAATGATTTTATTGCTATCAATATGAAACAGTGTCTCATTCATATCTTTATCTACAAAAGGTTTCAACAGATCAACTTGCTATTCAACTAAAAGAACTAGTCCACTCTTTAAGAAACTCTCAAAGGCTTGCACCCTAGAATTTGACTCCTTCCCAGAAATTTTTTCATAATACTCAACAATAATTCTTGCAATAATAATAATATTTGGATCAGTTTGCAGTTGCCTTGATCATCTTTCAATTGAGTAGTAGCCTGTTTTACCTTCCTGTGTTTTATAACTGAATAGAAGTATTTTGTATTGTCATTAGCCAACCTAATCCGTAGGAGTAACTCTTATAGTTATTGATAAGAATATGATGTTAATATTTTTTAATGTGTTTATAAATTAACATATTAATATATTTCATTCTTGCAAAGTAATTGATTGCAGGACCTAATAATCACGGTTAAAGTTTAGTTGATAAAATTAATGGAAAGGGGACAAAAGTGCCCCTCAACTATGGGAGATAGAGTAAAAATGCCTAATAATTTGAATTTGGTCCTAAATATTGCCCTTATTATGAGTGGACTAGCTCGTATTTGCCCCTAAAAACTAGTGAACTGTTAACTTCTTATTTTTACCCATTTAAAATATATTTTATTATTTAGATGGAGTGCCATCATGCAATACAATAATCTTAACCCCATAATATTTTTATAAATTTATTTTATCATAAAAATTACACATCCAAAATGGTTAAAAGAGTCAAAAAATCTAATTACCGATCATATTCATGTCTTTCCCCTATTTTCTAATTCTCCGAAAATTTAATAATTACGTATTAAATAAAACATCAATTTTAGAAAACTAATTATTTTTCATGAGAATATAATCTTCAAGAACACAAATACAAATTAGAATTCTTAAATTAGTGATGGATAATTAAAAGTAAGTGAAGAAATTGCAAGGAGTTATTATGTGCACTTAACAACAATTTATGATCTTGTTGAAGAAATTGTGTTTGCTGTTATGCCTGTAAGAATAAAATCCGTAGACAAGAGAGTCTAGGTCTTCACAAAGACAAACACTGAAAGAGAGAAGACTTATTAGTTGTCCTTCGAGCAAAACAAAATATTTTGTGAATCTCTATTTTTATATGTATTTCTAGAGGAAAAAAATCTTCATGTTCATGTTCTTTTTCTTTTCTTTTCTTTTCTTCCTTTTGTACTACCTCTCGTTATTTTAAAAATAGAAATCAAAATTTTGACCCTAAAATAAAAGTGTTGATCGAAAAATGTAGATTCTATTAGCTTTGAGACGCAAATACGAGCTAGTCCACTCATGATAAGAAAATATTTAGGAGCAAATTCAAATAGAGGACAAATTTATTCTATTTTCATAATTGAAGGAAAAATATGATTGAGGGGCGTTTTTATCCCTTTCCCCTTATATAATTAATAAGTGAAGTGAAGTTTTACCTTTTAGTAGTGGACTTTTATGGACACAATTCTGACATTTTTTTTTAATTTGAAAACTAAAATGTTTATGTTATTATAATTATATATAAATATATTTTTTGCAAAATGATTTAAAATTTTAATATAAATTTATCCAATTCAAAAAATACACACCAATTCTTCTGGATACTTAAAATTCTTTAGACAAAAGACTACATAAAAGCAATTCTTACTCAAGCTTTTCAAATTTGAGCACTTTAAATATGAACCAATACACACACATTAAGCTAGCGTTTGGACATAGATTTAGTTGAAACTTGAAAAAATAATTTTTGAAGTAGTTTTGAAAAATAACTTTTGGAATTTGAAATTATGTTTGGACATGCATTTTATTTGAAAAAATTTTGAAGTTTTGTGAGTGGGAGAACAAGTTTCACCCAAAATCTACCCTAAACTAGATTTTGGGAATTTGAAAAATAATTTCAAAATTTTTTAAAAAATAGATCATTAATCTATGAACAAACAATGTTTTCAAAAAAATTTTGGAAAAACGGTGCAAAAATGTATGGCCAAACGGGGCCTAAAACACTTGAGTTGCAAATGAGGCCTAACTTCATATATCAAAGCAAAAGACAACATCTAATAAATCATCTCAGGACGCAATAGTCACATGAAATAAATTGTTAACCACAATCCAAACAACTTACTGTTTAGTAAAACTAAAGAAGACTAAAATTTTAAATTTAATAAGAGTGAAAAAATTAGTAGAACCAACTTTTAAAAAAGTCAACTTTATAATTAAAGTAACTTAAATTTGACCTAGGACATTTATAAAATCTCTTTTCCAGGTTAGAAAGAATATTTGAAAGTGAAGTGATTGGCAACCAAATCACGGCAACACTTCCTCGACAAACAACTATTGTGCGATGTCTAACAATCTAATTGAACTCAATTTTGGAAGCAAACAAGAGAGAAGATGAGAGGGAAAGGGAATTTATAGAGCTATTAATTAATTAATTTGGAGGATGCCAATTGATGTGCCATGGATTTTTTCTTTATCGGTTGAGCACATGAAGGAGACGACTAATTTGTAAGGAAGAATTGCAATAAATAAAAGAGGTTTAGTGAGTAAATAGGTTAATGGATTTTTTAATTTTGTTTATTAATATGGTGTTTTTTTCGTTATTTTTAAAAAGTTTGCAAATGATGAAAGTAAATTTGGTGTTATAATAATATTTGAAAGTAAAGGGAAAAATTAGGCCTTTTTCTATTAGGAAAAAATACAATGAAAAAAGAAAAAACAAAAAAAAAAAAAAACACTCCTTTTCTAATCAGACACAAAACGAAAAAAGAGTCCCCGATTCAGAGAGAAGGAAGAAAGGAAGAAAAGAAGAAGAGAGAGAAAGGAAGAAGAGGGAGTATATATCGATCAGAGAAATAAAGAAGAGAGTTTTGGGTCTTCCAATTTCTGATTCAAAACTACAAACGGAAAATCCAAATGCGAAACACAATGTTGTAAGAGCAATGGAAGAAGAAGCTATATGGGGGGTTCCAATGAACAAATAAGAAGAAGAGTGGTAAAAAGCATTTCTTTTTTTCTGAATCTGAATTTTGAATCAGTTTCAAGAAGCTCAATAAGGTTAGCCAATTTACTTTTTTCTCTCTGTTTATGAACTCCAATTTCTCTTTACACCTTGTTAGCTAAATCTTTCTTCTTTCAACCCAATTTTCTGCAGAAATAAATTTGAAGTCCAAGTGGGGAACTTCAAGGTTTGAAATTTTAGCAAAAGGTGGTATTTTGGGTCTGGTTTAGTTGAATTATTGGAAATTTGAACTTAATTGAATTGGGAATAAAGCTAAGGGTTTACTTGAGAGTTACAGGGAGGTAGGTATTTGTAATTTGCTGGAAGTGGAGGGTTTCACTGAGTTAAAGTTTTGATTTTGGTTACTGGGTTGGAGGTTTTTTGGACTTGGAATTTAAAAATTTATGGGATTGGGATTTTTGGAGGGAGAGTTAGTTGAGAATTTGGATCTCTGGTTTGGAACTCAACCCCTCTTATCCTTAAACTGTTAAAAGTTAGAGTTTTTAAGATGGGTTTTGATTCAGCAATGCTGGGATTGGTGCTAGTGGGAGTTAATCTTGTTTGTTTTATGGGTTTCTGGAATTATGGCAAAACCCTAATTTAGTGGTGAATTGGGTTCTTATTGTGGCTTCTGTGTGTTTTGAGCAGTGGAAAGTTCAAAATTTTTGCTTGTTGTTGGTGTACATTTATGTATTGACGGAGATGCAACCGCCAAACCAGCATTCGCGGATTAATCTTTCTGAATTGAAAGCTCAGATAGTGAAGAAACTTGGACCAGAGGGGTCAAAGCAGTACTTTTATTACTTAAATAGGCTATTGAGCTTGAAGATAAGCAAGGTTGAGTTCAATAAGCTTTGTGTTAGGATCTTTGGGAGAGAAAACATTCCATTGCATAATCAGTTCATTAGTTCTATTCTGAGAAATGCCTGTAGTGCAAAGGTTCCTCCACCAATTAATGAAGGTGGTATTGTGAAGCCTGGTGAAGCGGTTGGCAGTAAAGAGCCTGTAGATGATGAATATGACCAAAATGGAGCTCATGTCTCCTCGAACCAGGCGTCAGGTCAACCGAGTTTGTCCAATGGTGATGTGTTGCCATTGTCTCCTCGGAAGGCTAGGACAGGATTACGTGATCGTAGGACTGGGGATCGTCGTAGTGTGCTTGGACCAAATGGAAAGACTAATTTTATTATCCAACAATCAACGTTGATGGAATCAAGTGACTTCGATGTTATTAAGGAAAATGGGGATTTGCATCCATCTAATGTCAAGGGGCCTATGCAGCATCATCAAGGAATCATGCACCAAACAGATGATGAAAGGCAGGCGTTCTGTCGAGAAACTGCAAAATTTTCTGCTATGAAGAGATCACTGGAAAATTCAGTATCTTTACAAAACAAAAAAGGCCAGTCTAGAGATGATGGGAAAGAGATGCATGCTAGGAGTCAACTCCAAGCCCCCCTTGGGGTTCCGTTTTGCCCTGTTAGTGTAGGTGGAGCGCGTAGACCATTACCTTTGGCAACAAGTAGTAGATGTGTTAGCTCTTCTAGTTTTGGTGCTTTGTTGGACAGTGTAACTCTGAGGGAACGCATGGAGCAGATTGCTGCAGAACAGGGCCTTGATGGGGTGGCCATGGATTGTGCCAATCTGATGAACAATGGTTTAGATTCTTACTTAAAAGGTTTAATCAAATCTTGTCTTCAACTTGTGGGAGCAAGGTCAGGGCACGAACCTACAACAAGCAACGCCAAGAAGCAGCAGACCTATATGAAGCTCGTTAATGGTCTAAGACCAGGTCATCATTTTCAGACAAATAGTGGTAGATCGTTAGAAGTTGTGGGCGAACATGCTATTGATAACCTTGTATCATTGCAAGATTTTAGGGTTGCGATGGAGCTGAACCCGCGGCAACTTGGCGAAGACTGGCCACTGCTGCTGGAGAAAGTGTGTACACATGCAGTTGAGGAATAAGACATGTGCACTTTGTTGTCTTCAGGTCAAGCTTGTACCAGTCCTACTGGATCAGCGGGCACAATTCTTTCCAAGTTTGGTGCAGTCACTGCACTAGAGTTTTCTTTACAGCCTTTTGATCCAGTCAACAGCTGTTGAGGTCAAACTTTGTCTCGTTCAAGATGATAGGGGCAGGAGCCAGGAATCTTTGTTTGACCTGCTGCAGGACCTTAATTTTGGCCAGAGGCATCCTGTTCATTAGCAACCACTGAAAGGGGCTTGAAAAAAGAATTCCCCTGTTGGTTGCACTGTTGTATCATTAGCTTAATTCCCTCTGGGTATCTGCATTCTCCTGTAATTTACAGTCAATGAGCAAATTTAGAACAGTTTTGCAGGAATAAATGTGTAGCCTAGTACTTCAGCTGAAAGATGAAACTGAATGGTGAAAGAGCTGAATGTGTATGTATCTTCAACATCAAAATTGATTGGAACCTAAACATTAACATTACATTTTTTCAGTAGCTTAATTGAGCTTATAATTTTTTTACTTCGGAATTGAAGTTCAGTTGTCTATGGTTGACTTTTGTGTCTATCCTCTTATTTTGTTAATTACACCAAAGGACTTCATTATTTGAGCCTTTGTCTCATAACTCACATTGCACAATAGGGTTATAGAAGCTGGGTTACCTCTCAGTTTGACTTGACTTGCCATTTGAATTTATTAACTTCTGTGTTCTTCTTGATTGTTAGAATAGAAGCACCATGTAAGTGATCTTTCAGTTTGCTAATAAATTGGGGGAATTGTGTAAAGTACCTGTTTGCATGCGATGAGCATGTCAGCTGTAGTATATTGCATGATAAATGGAATTGAAGACAGCTTTGTACTGATACACTAAAGCATCCAAAATCTGTTTTTCCTAGTTAGTGACAGGAATAGACTCGTTGGATACTTCAATGAGATGCAAGCCTATCTTACTACTAACTGGTAACAGTGAAACAGTGTAATAACTTAGATACTGGCTTTAAGATATTCCAGGTTCCATATTTGTCCATTTCCTAAAAGGTTTTGTATGACTTCAGTTTAAGTTCTTGATTGTATTATTCTTTTTCTTTCTCACTAAAATTTGGGAAATTTCAGGTCTTAGAGGTTATGTTAGACTAAATTCACCATTAAGGTTTTATTTTTTATGCTATAGAATTGACCAGTGACAGAGAAAAGTGTAGTGTGACTAACTGAGTATATTATGTTTCAGCCTACTATTTCCTTAATCACATAATTGGTTTTTGTCTCAATGTATTTACCTCTCAAGGGTGCATCATCACTCCTTTATTCAAGGCGGTCTGTGTAGTCAGAGAAACTGAACGGGGAGCTGGTCCTAGTAACAGGTTTAAAACATATCATAAATTGGAGGATTTACCGAATCCTATGGAGAAGTAAAGGTTGCAGTGGTCTAGCGGCGAGGGGAGTGATCTTGACTGCTGAAAATCTGCGAAAGAGAGGAATTACACTTGTTAGTTGGTGCTACATGTGTAAAAGCTCAGGGGAAGAAGTTGATCATCTTTTGTTGCATTGCCCTGTGTCCTTGGGTTTGTGGAGGGCAATCCTGAATCTTTTTGGTGTTCAATGGGTGATGCCAAGCACTTAAAGGAAATGTTATATAGCTGGGCCGGTTTCCGTAGAAGAAGAAAGCAAAAGGCGTGGAAGTTCGCCCCGTTAGCTCTCATGTGGATAGTTTGGGAGGAGAGAAATAGGAGAGCTTTTGAGGGGATTGAGTCTCCTTTTTCACATCTTAAGAATAGTCTTTTATCTTTGATCGCTTTTTGGTGCATTCATATAGCCCCTACTTGTATAGAAGATTGGGCGTCTTTTGTAGAGAATCATGTTTTGATGTAAATTCTCTACTTTTTGGTATACTTCTTGTATACGGGAGTTTTTTCTCCCTTTTGATTAATACAATTTACCTGATCAAAAAAAAAAAAAGTAAAGGTTGTAGTGGTAGGTTGAACGGATGGGGTAAAAAAAAACTGATAGGCAAGTAACAAAATAACTTGTGAAAATGAAATTAAGGTTGGAATGAAGATGATCTTAGCCCTCTTGCTGGACTGTGAAATTGTTTTTTTTTCTTTTTTTTTTGATGAGGTGATATGTTCCAGCATCAAGAAGGTGTTGCTGGACTGTTAAACTGTTTCTGGTCAGAGAACAAGTATACTTGCAGAGAAGTGCAACGGTAAGAAGAAAAAACCTCCCGCTGCTTATATATCTCTTGGCTTTGACAACCTGAATTATGAGAATTGAACTAATACATAACTTTTCTGGAAATCTAAGTAATTCCTTTTTCACACAGGTACACACATATGTATGTATACGGTACATATACGCATTTGCCTATAGAAGAATTCTTTTTTTTTTTTCTTAGTCTTGGGCTCTCCGTGAGTAAACTCTTATGTACTTTTCCAAATACAGGCAGGCCTTCCACTTAGATAGACGTGTTGCTAAGCTGTGCACAATCTGGACATCAGTAAGTTCACTACACTGCCTGCTAGTTATCAACCATTTTTTGCTGTTTTTTCTTCTGTTCATTTGCAAGTTAAGGATTTATCTTTTCAAGTCTTCCATCCTTCCAATAGTTTTGTGGAAGTATAATTGTGTGCTGTAAATATCTTATGCTCAAGTTATCAAGAAGAGGTAATTAAGAAAATGAAGGAGATTTCCTTTTACAGGTTGCAGGTATTTAAGTATATGATTAGCATTTATCTTCTTAGAAAAAAGAAAAAAAATAATTAGCATTTATGAGCCATCACAAATGGAAGCTAAGTAATTTTTAAATATAGGATATGGTTCTGGACAGTTTTGGCAATTTAAAACATGAATTATTAACAAAGGAAGTGCAATATATTAATACTTGTTTTATCTCCGTAGAATGCCTTTATGCCTCTTAGAGAATGGAGAAGTAGGCAAACATAATGTACGAATGTGTGTAGTATTGTCACTAGGGTAATAGGAAAAACAAATATATCTTTGCACATAAACATCAAATAACCCTTTGTAAACTAAACTGTTTTGATTGACCTGTTAAGCTATTATGTCACATACCAATTGTGTCTCTGTGTCCGTGTGTGTGTATTTCGGGAAATATGACCACAACTTTATGACCCAGTGAATATTGAAATAACGTTTTTGAATTATCAGAAGTAACTTGTATAACTTTTAAGATAATGCAAATAAGCATGTTGGATTTCTGATATTCTCTCTTGACATGCTAAGGGGCAGTGGTAATAGGAGGCAAGTTGGGTTATTAAAGATCAGGAACAGAGTAGTAGCTGAGACAAAAAGAATTTAGGAACTAATGTTGGCGTATGCTGTTTAATAGTTAATCTAGTGTTCGCAGTGGTTTCTGCAGGTGGTTGGGGAAGAAGTTGGAGGGTTTGAGGATTCATTCTGATGGAATCTTGTGAAGAAAAGTAAGGCATGTCTGAGTTTGGAGAGAGTCTTGTGTTTTTTGCAGTATAAGACAGGAATCTGAGGATAGACTGGGATATTATATATTTATATTTTATTCTTCAAATGGAGTTTATAAGTTTAGAGTCTATTCTGCAATGGTCTCCGCTTCCATTTGGATGTGAAGGTAGCATCTAATGTAAAGGTTATTCCTAAAGGACAATTTGAGGCTTGTAGTCATCACTAATTTGTTCCCTGTGTGGGAGTAGAGGCTTCACCAACTTTGATTGTCGGTTCAGTTTCTTCTTTTTGGTTCAGTTCAATCTTATAATTATTTGGTTATGTATAGTTATCTTCCCTCTAACCAACCTTCGAAGAGAACAAGAAGAGAGGTGGGCTGGTGGGAGGAAGCAGTTAATGAAAAGAGAAGTGAAAAGAGAAGTCTGTACTCTGTAGGATATATCTGGTTGGCTGCTTCTCTTTGGGAGCAAGAAAATACGGAATCACTTGCGTGATGTGTCCTCCAATACCTATAATTTTTTGCTTCTATCTCCAAGAATGGGTTCAACAGAAGTACTTTAAGACACTTCTCTATTCTCTAATTTTCACCCTTTTATTGATTCAATGGACCTTTGCAGCGTGGGAAGAAACTAGTGAAGTGTTGGACTCAATGCGGTGTCCAATGGGGCAAGTACATGGATATTTATCGGCTATGTAATATCATTAAACGATATGACAGACACTTGGCACTGACATAATTAGGAAAAGGCATCATTAAATCACATTGCCTACCAATTCATGCTCTCCACATTAATTTAACTCCCCCTCCCCCAGCCAAAAATATACAATTAATCTTCTTTACAGCTTTACTTAGAGATGCTTGATGAGGGTTGGCTTCCTTTTCATGTTCTTCACAAATTAGATGCCTCTTTTATGGATTAAGTATTTCAATTTACACCTTGCGTCCTACATGGAGGAAATGGAGAAAGACAACTGGTTTTGTGATTAAGCATGATAGTATTTTCCAGACAGTGAGGTGATATCTGCTGATAATCAACGGAATTTATGGACAAGGTGAAGGTTTGTCCTACATAGTTATGATGATTATCAAATAGGAGATTGTATTGGTGTCCAACAAGGACATGACCATTGACCACTCTAGAAGTGTCCTTGCTACAAAGTAATTTTTAATCATGGCCAAGATGAATTTTTGAGCCGAGGGTCTACCTGAAACAGCCTCTCTACCCTCTCGGGGTAGAGGTAAGGCCTGTGTACACACTACCTTCCCAGACCCCACTTGTGGGATCTTACTGGGTCGTCGTTGTTGTTGTTGTTATTGGCCAAGATGAATTTTGTGGAATTAGAATTCTGCCTATGTGAGTTGTTGATCCTAAACCCCAATAATGGAGGTTTGTGGTAGGCTGACAGATTGATGGCTGGTGTAAAATAGTCAATTCTGATGAAGCCTCTGAATAATGGGAATAGAGCGGCTTGATTGACCCTTGGGATTGAATCTGGCTAGGGATTGCCCTCATAAAGACTAAAAACTTGTTACGTCGAAAATAGTCGAGGGATGGATGCTTGTGCATGCACATAGCTGTTCCCAAATAGTGCGGGCGGGAGTGTAGTTGAGTTCTATAGAAGAGGAAAATATCTGCCACCCCCATATGAGTTATATTTCTGATTGCAATTGTTTCGTAGTAGCAATAGTGCTTTCGAGTGCTTGAGTATACCATACTTATTATGTGATTGTTGACATGACATATTTTCGGTATCTCGATTCATAACTTGATGTAGTCTGAATGCCACGAGAGAATGCCATACTGTGTAACCTGATTGATAAGTATTTGGCCAAGTTCTTACTGCTCCTTTTTGGGGGGTGAGGAAGTTGCAGGCTGTCAATAATGGTGGGCTGAATTTTATCAAATTGCCATTTTGCTAATATAAGCCAATCGAAAAGTAGTTGCTGCAGTCTGTAGTTCGTGATGACACTTGGTCTGGGGATAGTGTTTTTAATAGAAGGAAACTCAACTTTCCTCCTGATATAGGTTATTCTTGTTCTTCAGTAAGTGATTCAATCTACTTCACAAAATTAGATAAAACGTTTG